ACCCTCCTCCCTTATCCACCTATCAGAGTTCACCTGCTCCTCCACCTTTGTGACCTACACACAAAGGTCTCCAGGAAGCTACCAAACCAATCAGTGAAGCTGCCTGCTTGCCATATGTCTCTGCCACCTTGCCTTATTTAGTCAGTGAAGCCCCCTTCTGTTTCCCCATCAAAAGAGGTAGGGCACTATAAACATTTGAGAAATGACAAGTCGAAATAGAACACAGAGGGCAAATTACACTGCATGCCAACCTATCCTAGGCGGATCAATCTGTTTGTGTCCATTGGTGACAAGAGAGTCTCCTGCTTGAACAGGGGGTTGGACTAGAAGACCTCCAAGGTCCCTTCCAACTCTTATTCCGTTATTCTAGTGATGGCTCCAAAAAAGGTTGTAAAAAGCAGATCCGCTTACATGATGACCCACTTTATAATTGTTACAAATTATGACTATAATACAGTGTTTCTCAACCTTGGTAGCTTGAAGATGAAATGGACTTCAACTCCCAGAATCTGGCTGGGGGATTGGGAGTTTAAGTCCACCCATCTTCAAGCTCCAAGGTTGAGAAACACTGTTTAATAGGAACTCCATTACGGTTGTGATTTGAGGACTACCTTTTGTTTGTTCAGTTTTGACTTAATGTATTCTGTAAATTTAGCCAAACTGTACCCTTTTTCCCTTCGACTGCAAGGCGATCAAACCGGTCAGTCCTAGAGGAGATCAACCCTGACTGCTCTTTAGAAGGCCAGATCCTGAAGAGGAAACTCAAATACTTTGGCCACCTAATGAGAAAGAAGGTCTCACTGGAGAAGAGCCTAATGCTGGGAACGATTGAGGGCAAAAAAAGAATGGGACGACAGGGAATGAGGTGGCTGGATGGAGTCACTGAAGCAGTCGGCGTGAGCTTAAATGGACTCCAGAGGATGGTAGAGGACAGGAAGGCCTGGAGGATTGTTGTCCATGGGGTCGTGATGGGTCGGACACGACTTCGCAACTAACAACAGCAACTCTTTTTCAACTGACATGATTGAATAAAGCATGGCTTTTTTTCAGGGTTAAAATTTTCTGTGGTTTAAAATAAAGCCCTGGCTTTTATTCAGAAATGTATAATTGAAATATTCACACAAGAAAGCAATATTACGCCTAAATTCCTTCTTTTCATCATGCCAAAGTGCTGAATTAAATGTCTCTATCTGAGAACACTTTCAAAAGCTTGCCTGCAATGTTTCAAAAGCTTGCCTGCAAAGGGTGGTTTTTTTCCCCAAAACTGGAAATAATTCATTTTTCTCGGCAGGTACCATCGGCTGCCTTTGCCTGTAGACAGAGCGCCTTTAGAAACACAGTTTGATGCTTTCATCAGTTTCCTCCGGGTAAGACCTGATGCCAGATGTTAATCTACAAGCTGTCTTTTATTTAATAAGCTGACTTGGAAAAGGAAGCACATGCGAGATGTTTGTTAGAAGAAGCTGGAAATTCTTCCTGTTGGGTGGATATACTACAAACATTGGCTCCCCCCCTTCTGTATTTACATCTGCCAAGTGTAGATTCATGTGTCTATTTCTGGATCCCTCTAGCTGGTATTTTAATACACACATTTGCTAGATGCCTGTATTTGCTTTAGGCTCATGACTTAACTGTATGGTTTTGTTGTGCCAAACATAAAAGGCATAATATCCCCTTCACACATACACACTGTAAAAAGAATCACTGCACAAACCAGCCAGAAATTAAGCTCTGAAAGGCCCGTTTATTAGAAAACCATTCAAATAAATGCTTAGCTTTTTGGGGTTGGATCAAATCTACAATACTGAATTTAATTAATGGGCATCCAGTTGCTAGTTGCAGTGCCAGTGTTTACTTTGGACGTTTCATTGTTTTGCTAAGGCTGGAGACAGTTTTGGGAGATACTAAAAATACGTAAAGTGTTATGGGAACAATTCAGGGTTAAAGTAATTACAGGATAGGTTCTAAGCCGCGTTTAATATGTTAAGTTAATTTGATTAAGAGAAGGAAGAGAGGCTTTCTTCGTTTTGGGATGTAATTTTATGCATATTTTCCTGGGAGAATGTTTTGTTTTTCTAAAAAAAAAAGATTGACATTTAAAATAATATGAGACTTCATATAAGATTTTTTTAAAAAAAAATTACATAAGATTAAAAGGTAAGTCATCTTGGTGTAATGGTTAAGGTATCAGGCTAGAAATAGGGAATTCTAATCCTACCTTACGCACTAAGCCAGCTAAGTGACCTGGGGCCAGTCACACACATTTAGCTCTAAAAAGAAGACAATGGCAATTCACTTCCAAAATCTTGGCAAGAAAGCTACAGGGCCTTATCTAAGCAATTTCTAGGCGTCAAGACTAACTCAAAGACTAACCCCCCCCACACACACTGAACAAGATTTTTGTTTGTTTGCTAGTAGCTGCTATTCTGTGTATTCTGTGTATTCAGCTACATAAATAGGATATTAAGAGTTAAGGTTATATTTACAGTTGCTACATTTGTCTAATCTATGTCTGTCTGTCTATCTATGTCGAATATCAAACTCAAGACCCATGGGCCGGATTTGGCCCACGGGGTGCTTAGATCTGGCCCGTGGGGGACCCTGGAAACAGCGAAGGACCAGCCCGCGGTGCCTCTGTCAGTGAAAACGGAGCTTGGGAGGGCTGCGCACAGCCCTCCTGAGCGTCATTTTCGCTGGCAGAGGGCTGCAGGAGGATTCCCCACAGCCTCACCTGGGCCACCACAGGTACCCCCGACACAAGTGATGTAGAGCTGGCCACGCCCACCCTGACCACCCTGCCTCCACCCCCCCCAGGTCAAACACAACCCTGATGCGGCCCTCAATGACACCCCTGATCTATATTATATACCCACCCATCACACATGAGATATATATATAACAAGAGAGAGATATATAACAAAACTAAGGAAGAGTGTTTAAAAACTTATATACACTAAAGCCATTTTGCAGGCACTCTATTACCAAGGGATCCTGAGACCTACTAGAAAGATCATGTCTTGAGAGGTCTCTGTGAATGGCCAATAGGATTGAGGCTAATCTTAATTCACCTTTTGAGAGTGAATAGGTAGGAACTGAACTAGAAGAGGCTCCAGTAAAAGATAATATATGTAAACTCAGAGTTGACCTGTGGGGTCCTTTGTGCTCTCTGAGTTTGGTTATTTTCTTGCAAATATTTCAACACCCAACTAGGCTGACAGGCCATCAAATCCCATCTCCTGCTTCTTCAGAACGAAGAGGGGTTGACCAGAAAAGTCACTGCCCTCTTTTTGGTCGCTCAAGAGTGTTTCTTTCCCTTGGTATAGAGCAGGGGTGTCAAACAAGGGGTGAAATCCAGCAGGTTCTAACAGGTTCTAGAGAACCGATAGCTGAAATTTTGAGTAGTTCAGAGAACCGGCAAATACCACTTCTGGCTGGCCCCGTAGTGGGGTGGGAATGGAGATTTTGCAATATCCTTGCCCCAGGAGGGAAGGGAATGGAGATTTTGCAGTACCCTTCCTTTGGAGTGGGGCAGGAATGGAGATTTTGCAATATCCTTCCCCTGCCATGCCCACCAAGCCACGCCCACAGAACCGGTAGGGAAAAAGTTTGCATTTCACCCCTATTTCATTGAGGGCCGCATCAGGGTTGTGTTTGACCTGGGGAGCCGGGGTGGCATGCCCAGGGGGAGGGTGTCCAGGGTGGACATGCCCAGGGTGGGCATGGTCAGCTTGACATCACACATTGAGGCTCCATTTTTGGCCATGATGGCCTTCTGCAACCCTCTGCCAACAAAAATGGAGCTTTTCGCTGGCAGAGGGCTGCAGGAGGCCATCACGGCTGAAAATGGAGCCCGGGTAGGCCGAACACGGCCCTCCCAAGCTCCATTTTTGCTGGCAGAGGCACTGTGGTCCGGTTCTTCGCTGTTTCCAGGGCAGCCCCACGGTCCAGATCTAAGCACCCCATGGGCCGGATCCGGCACTTGGGCCTTGAGTTTGACACCCGTGGTCTAGAGCAACAACACACAAAGTGTGTGAACTTTAGAAGACATGGTTTTGCCAGTGGGACAGGGGAATGAGATGTGAGATGTGGAGCCCATCAAATGACTCATTTGACTGTGTGTTGTCGCTGGAAGGTGGATGGGGGGGGTGTTAATTGCTTTTTAAAAAATTTTTTAATTTTCGATACTGTGTTTTTATTGCTTGTAGGCCACCTGGACTTATTATGAGTGCCTAGGCACTTATATAAATTTTCTAAATAAATAAAGACACTTTAGGAAGCTGAAAATTATTTTTCCTCTCACATGGCTGTTTGATAGCCAGTCTTTTGACCGAATGGCAGCCCAACGAATGTGTACAATTCTGTCTTACAGGAAAGTCCAAATCTGCTCCTTCTCCAAGATCCCAGCAAGCCACCTCCTGCTCTGGTGTTTAGTTGCCAAACTGGTGTCGGGGCGACCAATTTTGCCATGGTCTTAGGAACTCTGGTCCTGTATCACCGTAAAGGTGGCCTACAAAAACAAGAGTAAGAACTGTATGGCATCTCCTACTGAGATGAAATGAAATGGGCAGGAAGTCATGATTATTTAGAGGCACTGAAAATCTGCTTACATGTTCCATTCCTATCTCACGGACTTGTTTTATCACAAACTGGAAGGAATTAGAAACTCGTTCCCCTTATATATGATTAGGATATTATCTCAGTGAAGTGTTGATTGAACCGCATCATTTACATAATGATTGTCAATTTACTATTTTAGGTATCATCCAAAATGCAAGATTTCTGAGTATCTGTAGGGTGTTAAATACATGGCTTGGGAAACTTTATTGAGCAGTATTCTATATGCAACATTAAGAGAACAAAATATAAAACAACGTATTTTCAGTATGGGCATCAAGATTTCATGTTTGATCAAGCTGAATGCTACAGCTTCTTTTTAAATTTTATTTTATTTAAGTTAGTATTACCAACCAATATATCAAGAGTACACCAAATGTAATAGATTGTATATAAACTAATTCTTTGCTTCAGGTAGGAACTTGTATTTTTTTTTCTTTAACTAACTGGTTTTGGTGAGAGCATCATGAAGTGCATCACATAATTTTAATAAAAGCAAAATTAGAAAGTTTGTTAAATCTTTGTGCGATTCCATGCATTTAGGCATATCTTTAATATTATTCAATCACAGCCTTCCACAGTCTTCCAAATATTCACCCAGGGAACAGTTTCGGATTATTCAGAACTTCATTGGCATGGTACCCAATGGGCAACAGATAGTGGAAGAGGTGAGTGAAACTAATTCCTTTGGCCTCAGTGATCTTCTTGTGCTTCATTGCCCCTTATTCTCATTGAGGCTAATTAATAACGCTGATAGAGTTACTTGTCTCAATTTGTGACAGCCTCTGATAAAGGGACGCTCTACAAATTGAACAGAAGAACACAGAAGTTACACAGACAAATTTGTGGTGCCTTCTTTAAATGAAGTATCATATACATTCCCAAAAGGGGGTGAAAATGTCTGTGCGTCATATAGACCAAATATTGCCAAAATCCCTGCCCACCCGCCGGCTGTTTTTGGCCTCCGCATACCCCATTTCCGGGCCTTTTTCCAGGCCTTTTTCGAGGCTTTTTTCAGCCCATTTTCAAGGCTTTTTTTGGCCCGTTTTCGAGGCTTTTTTTCAGCCTGTTTTTCTGAAAACAGTCTGATTGTACAAAAAGAAATATTGAGTTTTCTCCATTATGACTAGAAAGTCAGCTTGCTTCAACTTGGATGCTCACCCAGAGATTTTTGGACTGCAGCTCCCAGAATTCCCTGTATTCAGAGTTGAAAGAGGCCATTAAGTTGGGGAAACTTGTCCAAAATAGTGATATGTTTTATTGAAGAAGCTGTCTGAAGACATGCGAGTGGGTGCAGTGGTGGGTTGGTTCCGGTTCTGTCCGGTTCTTTAGAACCAGCTGGAGGCACCGCCCACCCGCCCAGACGTCATAATTGACGATCTGTGTATGTGCAGAAGTGCGCTCTCCTGTTGTGAACCAGTAGTAAACATAAGTAGAACCCACCCCTGAGTGGGTGGTTATTATATACAAAATGTAAACTAGGATAGAGATCACATTTTGGGTGAAAGAGTTCTTTAGCATATATAAAAATAAAGGTAAAAGTTCCCCTCACACATATGTGCTAGTCATTCCCAACTCTAGGGGGTGGTGCTCATCTCCGTTTCAAAGCCGAAGAGCCAGCGCTGTCTGAAGACGTCTCCGTAGTCATGTGGCCAGCATGACTAAATGCCAAAGGCGCACAGAAAGCTGTTACCTTCCCACCAAAGGTGGTCCCTATTTTTCTACTTGCATTTTTTACGTGCTTTAGAACTGCTAGGTTGGCAGAAGTTGAGACAAGTAATGGGAACTCACCTCGTTACGCGGCACTAGAGATTCGAACCGCTGACCTTTTGATTGGCAAGCTCAGCATCTTAGCCACTGAGCCACAGCGTCTCTTTAGCATGTATAGCATAATAGTTAATTTGGGATTAAAATCCTAAAACTTCATTCCTTCTGGTGGTTTTCCTCTACCCTTTTGTCTATTTTTCAGACACACATTTTTCATCTTAGCTGTGCCTTTATATCAGCATTTTGAGTAAAGGGAAAAAGGAAGGGTGCATTTTTGAGAGGGGGAAGAAATTGGCAGTTTTTCTTATCCAAAACTATTTAATTTATTTGTATTTCATATTTCTTAACCTACCTATCTCTCTCAGAAATGATTAGAAAGTGTCCTCCATTTCTTGACGTTTTTCCATCCTACTTCACTGGTACAAAATTCTGAAGATGTACAGAGATTGAAGGACCACATGGTGCCTGTGGTTGCCCGTGTCTCATTTCAGTTTTTTTAAAAAATAGATTCAAGGTGATCATTAAGAGAGGACACTGATAAAATAGAAATATAATTGAAGAGAATGAAATCCTCTCCCTCAATAGTTTTTGATGTTCTCTCTTTGGCCTTCAAAGGTGGATGCTGCCATTGCCTTGTGTTCAGAAATACATGATGTGAAGGAAGCCATCTATGAATACAAGAGGAAATTGGAAGCGATTGGAGAAGATTATCAAAACCAGGTATTAGTAATTCTTTTTAAAAGGTGACAAGATCCATGGCACTAGTCCTCAGTTTAGGACTACTTGCTTAGCAGCTGTTCAAAGTTACATTGGACCTTGAAAAAGGGACTTACACCCTGGTTTCAAAGTTCTGATCCCCACAGTCACACAACCACGATTTATGATATTTTTTGCCAGAAATGGGTGTTTACCTCAGGCAAAAACTTCCCCATAGCGAACAATAGGTTCATTTAATGACCATGGTATTCACTTAACAAGCATTGTGTTGACCAGCACAAAAAAGGTCATAATGAGGTCCGGTCTCATGATATGACCAACACAATTATGACCATAATTGCAGGGCTCAAATTACAGTTGTAACCTGAGAACTTCCTGTAGGAAGTTCTCTCCTCAGTGCTCTATGTATTCATACTTTGGAGGACTGTTGCGATTGCGATTTGTCTTCTTCAGAAAATGGGGATATCTAAGTACAAAGCAATTAGAATTCTTAGGTTTTATTGGAAAAATGTCACGAATGGTAGATGGATACTTAAATTACAGATCTTGCAACAGGAGCCCTTCTTCATATATGTTGGGGCTGGCAATAATTGATGTCTAGGGTTGGACTAAGCATTTGTGGATGCCCAAGGCAACAGTGCGATCATAATGCAGAATGGTGGGTCCAAATTTTAAACATCTGTTTGAAGATTTTGGAATTTTGTTTCTGATTTATACATTACACTGAATCTGTTTTAGGATTTCATGCCTTTCTCTCTGAGTATATTCATGTATTTCCCACCTCAAAAGGGTATGACCCCAGTTTCTAGCAGTTGTGGTTATGGCAGGGGCCCCTACAGGAAAAGGAATTGGTAGCCCATCTGGGCTATATACGCTTATTTTCTAGATCTCCCAAAAGCTACTATCATTTGGATTCCTAATAATCCGATAAACATTTAGATATAATTTTTGGCCTCCATACACATTTCAAATCCATCTGTCTCATAATTAAAGTCAATAGGGCTACAATCGTACAGGCCAGTGGTGGGTTTCAAAATTTTTTACTACCGGTTCTGTGGGTGTGGCTTGGTGGGCATGGCATGGCTTGGTGGGCGTGGCTTGGTGGGCATGGCAGGGGAAGGATACTGTAAAATCTCCATTCCCTCCAACTCCAGGGGAAGGTTACTGCAAAATCCCCATTTCCTCCCGATCAGTTGGGACTCGGGAGGCAGAGAATAGATGGGGGCGAGGCCAGTCAGAATTTTTACTACCGGTTCTCCAAACTACTCAAAATTTCCGCTACTGGTTCTCCAGAACTGGTCAGAACCTGCTGAAACATACCTCTGGTACAGGCAAAGTGGAGGCTGAAGTTGAGAAATTATATCTTGTAATGAGTTCCTTACTGGTTTGAACCAGATAGGTACATTCAGAAGGATCATAGCTGCAAATCTTCTGATGATTTAATCTCTGGCATTTCCAGCTAACAGTCTCATGTAATAGACAATGGGAGGGCCTAGGAGGCCTCCTTGCAGCCTCCTGGGAGCGAAAATGGGCCACGGGGTGGGTGCACCGCACTCACCCCCGGCAGCCCATTTTGGGCCTAGTAGGCCGCCCTGCACTTACTTGGGAGCCAAAATGGGGCACGTGGGGACTCCTGGAAGGGACAGGGTGGGGAGAGGCGGGGTCAGCCTACAATTTAACTACCAGTTCGCCCGAACTGGCTGAATCCCACCACAGGTTGTAAATGTGAAAAACAGTCATAGATCACTTTTTTCCGTGCCATTATAACTTTGAACGGGTCACTAAATGAACTGTTGTAAATTGAGGCCTACCTGTATCTGAAACCGGAGACTTATAATTGTGTCACAGAGTATGTGTGCTGCTTGTTTATGTAATCCTCAAGTTCAGAGATTCTCTTAAGAAAAATGATAAATTTGCTAATTATTTCAACTTGCCATTTTATTTATTGGCATGCTATATTCTGTGAAGCCTTTCATGCACTTTACTTTTTTTAGCCAACCTGTTGCTTTGTGATTTAGTGACTTGAATTTGCTTACCCCAAATAAGTTGTTACTTTTACTGTATATCATGAATATTTCAGTCTGCCAATTGGTTTATTTTTTTTATTTTTGTTGGGAGTGAGAGAAGTGGTTTTCTGTTACAACATGTAGCATCATCAAACGGTGACAAGAGACTTTGTAAAATTGAAAAAAGGAGGCTAAAAGAGAGACATGTGGCTTTAATTCTTCTTTTAAAAGCGCCTTCCTCCCACCGTGCCTAAAGACATATAAACAGGATAGACTATAAAATTCTTGAGGTGTAAAAGATGACTATAAACAAAGAACTGTTTGTCCTGAAAGCCAGAAAGTTTTCCACTGGATAAATGTTTATCCAGAATATCACAAAACTATTTTGAATTTCCAAGTGAACTCTTGAGAGTTGAAGATCCAAAATCCTTGCTCTTAATTGTTTTATCACTGTTGTGATTTATTCTTCTTCCAAGGTTTCATGCTTAAAATGGAATTGGGACTCAGCCTTTGTGCACCACCTAGTTCTGGGCATGAGAAGGAAGTTGTAGAGTGACTCTTAAGCCCATCAGGAGAACTTTCTGTATCAGATAGCCCATATGCCTTAGTTAGGTCTTTGTCTTGTTTTTCCTGCCTGTGTCAGGGTCAGAGCTGGCTTGCTGTCAGGGTTCCGAAGGATGCCCTAATTAAATCATAAACCTCGAGCCAAGCTTCAAAAGAAATCCAGTTACTTATTAGGTCCAAGTGGAGCCAGCTCTGACCCTACATAATTTATGCCCCAATCATGACCCTGTTTCCCCCCTCCCCCCAGGGTGTGTCATCAATCACATTCTCCAACGGAGCAATTTTGGGGGTTGTAGAGACCCTTCTGGCTGCTGTGGGTAACCCTGGGATACAGCCTTGAGAGAGATAAATCTGGAATGTGCATGTGTCTTTGGCTGCCATGCCGTTTAGTTGGTTTCCCATCCCCCCTTGCTTATGGCAACTCGAGGACAGGACAGGGATGCTTTGGGAGTTGACACTCTGACTGTTTCAGCCTAATTTCATTGTATTGCAGGAGTCAGTAACTCAGTTCCTCAAAGCTCCCAATTTCCTATGATATCCCTTTATGACATGCATAGAAAACCCCCCTCCCCATTTAATACTTAAAAATAGCTGAAATAGCATGAGATTGCCAAGTTCTTCAAGACTTTGTTATTGCACAAGGTTGTTTGGGGTGAAATTCTTTTGAAGATTTCATCATTCTTTTATAAGAAGTCTGATACCTCATAAGTGGGATCTCTAATCTTGAAATAGTTCATCCATTTAAAAAAAAAAATCATAATGGATTAACAATCCATTATACTCCTTCAGTACAGGATATTTAGTGTTATGTTCCCAACTAACCTGTGTAGTAACTTGGATTGAGAGATGGAAGTATGCTATGCTCAGTTTGCTAACCTTGCTAGGTGATAGGTGAGAGCTTTATTTTAATCAGCGAAGAGTCCTCTTTTTTTACATTCTTAGTCTTGCTTCTGCTTAAGGTAAACATAGGAGGCACAAAACTGTTTGTCTTTTGCCAACAGTTTGTTTGTTTATTTATTTATTTATTTATTTATTTATTTATTTATTTATTTATTATATTTATATACCGCCCTTCTCCCGAAGGACTCAGGGCGGAGAACAGCCAAGATCAAATACATAAATATAAAAGTTAAACACAATTTAAAACCAGATTAAATACTTTGGCCCACAATTAAAAACATCCCATTAAAATCCAATTTAAAATTTAAAACCATTAAAATTAGGCTAGCCCGGCTTGCTGGAATAACAAAGTCTTCAGGGCACGGTGGAAGGTGCGCAAGTCCGGGATCCTCCATACCTCCGGGGGCAGCTCGTTCCAGAGGGCAGGAGCCTCCGCTGAGAAGGCTCTCCCCCGGGGGGGTCGCCAGTTGTCATTGTCTGACCTAAGGCACCCTGAGGAGCCCCTCCCTGTGGGAGTGTACTGGCTGGTGGGAGGCTGTCGGTAGCAGAAGACGGTCCCGTAAGTACCCAGGTCCTAAGCCATGGAGCGCTTTAAAGATGTTAATCAACACCTTGAATCACACCCGGAAGACCACTGGGAGCCCATGCAGCTCGCGCAGGAGAGGTGTTACATGGGAGCGCCCCGCCGCTCCCATAATCACCCGCGTGGCCGCATTTGATAAAGTGATTGCATGTCAGGGTTGACTCAGGGCCTACTGTATTGCACAATGGAAGACCAAATAGCACCACCCCATTTCACATACAGAAGCTTGACCAGTAGCCACTTATACCTATGATCAGATGGCATTCTTCTAGGGCTTAAGAATAAGCTCATGAATGAAAGGTTCAGCTGCACCGCGTACTCCATTCTCTCCACTAGCAGAAGAAAACAATCACGGAGGTCAGCAGAAAAAAATGGTCAGCAAGAGAATGGCCAACCTCATAGTTGGCTGGCCAAAATTGGCCGACCATAATTGGCCGGCCAGTAGTTCTTGCTCTATTTTGCCTAGTGATACAATCAGCCTAGGGGATTCTAATTTTTATTTAGCCATAGATGAAGTTTAGGGCAGTCACTCATTTTTTGAATAAACTCCTTTACAAACTCACCTGGTTTTAATGATGGGGGAAAAATAGTATCTACAGGTAGGCCTCAGCTTACAACCATTCGCTGAGTGACAGTTCGAAGTTAGGAGCCGCGGTGGTGCAGTGGTTAGCGTGCAGTACTGCAGGGTACTTCTGCTGACTGCCGGCTACCTGCAACTTGGCAGTTCAAATCTCACCAGGCTCAAGGTTGACTCAGCCTTCCAACCTTCCGAGGTGGGTAAAATGAGGACTCAAATTGTTGGAGGCAATAGGCTGACTCTGTAAACCGCTTAGAGAGGGCTGTAAAGCACTGTAAAACGGAATGGCTGTAAAGCGGAATGTAAGTCTAAGTGCTATTGCTACAATAATACTGAAAAAAGTGATTTATCACCATTTCTCACAATTACAATGGTTGCAGCCTGTCCACGATCACATGATCAAAATTCAGACACTTTTATTTATTATTTATTTTATTATTCATATTTCTGTGCCGCCCACTCTCCGAGGACTCTGGACGGCTTACACCAAAGACAGTATACTAAATAGCATATTGCCCCCTAACAATCTGGGTCCTCATTTTACCCATCTCGGAAGGATGGAAGGCTGAGTCAACCTTGAGCCGGTGAGATTTGATCCGCTGATCTGCTGAACTAGCAGTCAGCTCAAATAGCTGCAGTACTGCACTCTAACCACTGCGCCACCTCGTCTCTTGGCAACTGATTCATATTTATGAGGATTGCTGTGTCCTGGGTCATGTAATCCCCTTTTGTGACCTTCTGACAAGTAAAGTCAAGAGGGAAGCCAGACTCACTTAACAACCGCATTGCTAGTTTAACACCTGCAGTGATTCACTTAACAACTGTGGCGAGAAAGGTTGTAAAATGGGGGAAAAAACTCACCTAAAAATTGTCTTATTTAGCAACAGAAATGTTGGACTGAACTGTTGTAAGTTGGGGACTACCTGTACTGCATATTACACCAAACTCCTGATAGAAAGTAGTGTAGAAACGTGCTAAATAATATTTTCCCTAGATCTGTGAATTATTCTGGACTTAGCCATCTCTTTGGAGAGTAGGTCTAAAGCAGGGGTCAGCAACCTGCGGCTCTGGAGCCACATGTGGCTCTTACATCCCTTTGCTGTGGCTCCCTGTTGCTAGTCGGCTCCACAATTGATAGGGCTTTCGGTTAGGACAGGTAGAGGAAAAAGGATGCTGCGCTAGAGGGAGACTATGATGGGGGAACCAGACTTCCGGTCGGCTCCAGAATTGAACAGGGGTTTTTGTGGCTCTTTGAGTGTTTAAGGTTGCCGACCCCTGGCCTAAAGTTACTATCTCTACTGACGTGAGATTCTTTCTTCAAGTTGAAATTCACCTGCTGGAGTCCTCTTCTCGTTTTGTTGTTCTGACAAGTAGCTTTGTGAGAATAATTTAGCTTTTCTTTTGAAGTGATTTTCAGGTTGCCTTCACAGCATGTAGTGTATGTCTTCACCGGCTCTAAAAGATCAGCTTTTGGAAGTCACTTTACTTGTAAACACAGTTAATGTTTATAGGAAACTCAAGCGGAGCAACAGCTCTTCTTAAACAATGGAAATTTTTACCTTGAAAAATATCCTTTTGTCATCCTTGTGAAAAGCAGCAGAACATATATATCTGTGAGACATGACAGGTCTCTAAGCCAAATGAGGGCTGACAGAATTCTTGTTCTTGTTCCTTTCTGGGGCTGCAAAAATTGGAGCAAAATATCCCCACAATTTATTGTTATGCTATCTTTATGTGGCAGCTTCTACACAGATTATAGAGATTTGATGTATGCCTAATGCAGTCTTTCTTTAATAAATAAAAGCAGGCTTTATAAAATACATAATTTATGCATATCTAGATGTACAATAAGATTTCAGTAAATATCCTTTCAAGAGAAACCATAAACCATGCTACAAATACTATTTTTAAAACTCTATTGGAGATCTCTGCATTTGAGAGCAATGAGATTTGAATAGTTGGATTTGTGCCATCACTATCATTTATTTTAACATGTGGATGGAAATAGCCTGTGCAGGAAAATATTTCTAAGTGCATTTATTAAATCTTTTTAATAAATAACTTCAGGGCAGATTTTTCTTGGAGGTTAACAAGTAAATATTAATTAAAGGCAATTATATAACCTAAGATTCCAATGGATCCTTGCCAAATTCTCTCTCTTTCAAAACCAAATGAAGCCTTTCTGAGTTTGTTCAAGGTCTGTTTTGGCCATACAGAGCCAATGTAATTTTAAAAAAACAAAACAAAACAGTGGTAGATCAGGAATATTTTATCTAAATTGCCACACAGTTTTGAAATTCATGGTATGGTATTAATAGAACATTATTGCTGAGCTTAGCCTTTGTCATGGAATGACAGGAGGATACAGTTTATAGTAGATAATGGAGACCATGATTGTGCTCTTACGTTTCTTGGAGGAAAAATGGCGCTTTCCAAAGTTGAGTTACCCAAAGAATAGAGGTCATTAGCAGATATCTTTATTAGAAAATCATGGTCTTAAACATGAATTCCGAATCTTGATTGGAATCTTCACAAAATGGCCGCTGAGAGATTCACTTATTCACAAGATGCCCGTCGCAGTGACATAACCATATACTGATTTGCTGGCAACTCCTTAGACCAGAATATTTTGTACTTCTCTTGGTCTTTTTTATTTTCTAAGATTTTTGAGGCTCAGTTAGATTTCTAGAAATAAAACTTAAGCTGTTTTTTTTTGCTTGCTTATCATTATTTTTAAATTTTTAAATCATAGATATATATTTGTAATGTCATGATTTGAGAACTGCTTGATTGATATACTGCTAAATTATTTTCTTCAAAGACATTGAGGGTGTCCTAGTTGTAGCATAGTGTTAAGTAATAATTTGCATTGAGAGGCAAATTTACAAATTTGTTTGCATCTCTTGCTCTCTCTCAATATATGCATAAATATAGTTGGTTCATTGGAATACGTTAGATGCTGAAAACTGTATATTGTCAGTTTAGCATTCCATAAGTCATATACAATTACCTGGATTGTTATATCTCTTTGTGTTGTAGAAGAACAGCACCAAAGAGTGTTTCCTTCAGAAGACATTACAGAGACTTGAACGCTATTTCTTCTTGATCACTTTCAATTATTACCTTCATGAACAGGTGAGTGTACTTCTATGAATCATTATCTTGCAGTGTGCACTTTCCAATCCCTGCTACAGACATATGACTCATAACAATCATGTTTGGCCATGTATTGTTTCAAAGGTCCATCTGTTCCTTCATGGTTTATCAGGGTATTGTTCATATATTCAGATATACCGTAACTCAATTCTATCTCCCATTAACTCAATACCCAGTAAAGCTAATAGTGAGGGAAATGCCATTTTGTTCTGACAACAGTAGAGAATCACATCATGCCTACCCATGTTTCAGTTCATTATTCCATAGACTAGGCAGTACAACTGAAAAATCCATGTATCTCACTCATCAAGCTTCAGGTCCATCAACCAGTTACTGTAAATATGTGAGGAGGACCTTTAGAAGTTTGATATCAGATATCTGAGCTCTGTCCTAAAGAATTTTACACAAAGACGCTGTGGCTCAGTGGCTAAGATGCTGAGCTTGTCGATTGAAAGGTCAGCAGTTCAGTGGTTTGAATCCCTAGTGCCGCATAATGGGGTGAGCTCCTGTTACTTGTCCCAGCTTCTGTCAACCTAGCAGTTCGAAAGCACGTTAAAAAGACAAGTAGAAAAATAGGGACCACCTTTTGTGGGAAGGTAACAGCGTTCTGTGCGCCTTTGGCGTTTAGTCACGCCAGCCACATGACCACGGAGACATCTTCGGACAGCGCTGGACATTGGCTTTGAAACGGAGATGAGCACCGCCCCCTAGAGTCAGGAACATATGTGCGAGGGGAACCTTTATCTTTACCTTTTTAGGCAGTAAATCTGAAAAATCCATGTATCTCACTCATCAGGCTTCAGGTCCATCAACCAGTTACTCTAAGTATGTGAGGCGGACCTTTAGAAGTTTGATATCAGATATCTGAGCTCTATCCTGAAGTATTTTACACAAATATTGTGATAAAAGCTGCAGGCTCTACCAGTGAATTGATGTGAACATGGGACTTCTTGTCTTCTTTGATAGAGTGATGGTAAGACCTTTTCCATAATTGCTTTTTGATTGCAATCTTTTGGATCTTGATCTGTCAAATCAAATTATTGAAAAAGGTTGCCTTTTGTTGCTGGCATCATCACTCAAACAATATTCAGTTGTACTAAATTAAAATATATGTAATGTTAAATATTTGGAGGCCTAATAAAAGAAAATTTGAGAACCAGTGACATGACTGCACATACGTGTGGCAGTGTTGTCTGTGAAGTCATACAAAGAATTTGGGTACCAACAATAAGTGGATAATACCCATTGTTTGTTCCCCTGTACATTAAAATTAGATGAGACAATGAAGCTGTTGGACTCATGTCTGGATTCTTCAATGAACTGGATAAAGAAAAATAAGCTATGATTGAATCTTGATAAGATAGAGGTACTATGGATTAATTGCCTACAGCTCTAAGAATTTGGTAAAAATTTCCAATTCTAGATAGGATTGTACTCCACCAAGAGTAGACATGCAATGTTAGCATTCTTCTGGATCACCTAATGCTTGAGGTCCAAATGTTTTCATAACCATATGTGTGTTTGATCAGCTGTGAATGACTGTTTTGGATAGGAATAGAGCAGGGGTGAAATCTAGCAGGTTCTGACAGGTTCTGGAGAACCGGTAGCGGAAATTTTGAGTAGTTCAGAGAACTGGAAAATACCACCTCTGGCTGGCCTCAGAGTGGGGAGGGAATGGGGATTTTGCAGTATCCTTCCCCTGGAGTGGGGTGGGAATGGAGATTTTGCAGTATACTTCTCTTGCCACGCCCACCAAGCGACATCATGCCCACCAAGCCACGCCCACAGAACTGGTAGTAAAAAATTTTGGATTTCACCACTGGAATAGAGGAATACTCGCCATAGTAGGACATGTTCTTATACTCACATAATTAAACTATCGCAAAGCATTTTACATGATCTACTCATAAAGTTGACCCAGAAACTGGAGGTGATGTAGTTTTTTAAGGGACTGCGTGTGTGTGTCACACCAGGTTTAAAGGAACTGCAGTGGCTACCTATACATTGCCTGTCAGACTTCAAGTTTTTAATAATAACATTTAAGATCCTAAATGATTATGTATATACATGAACGTTAAGGTCAGCATGGCTTCTTGATGGAAGTATCTCAAAGTGCCTTTTCGGCTAAGGTGGTCAGCCAGAGAGATGTCAACATTTTTTTTCTTTCTGGAGCCAGTTGAAGATCTGGCTTTTTATTGTAGCGTTGGAACTTAATAGCTACTGCCTGTCTATGTTTAATTATTGTTCCTGAAAATCTGTGCCTCTCCACTATTAGAGGTTTAATTTAATGACTATTTAATAACTGTAAACACCCTGAGTTTCTTGAGTCATGTGGGTTCTAAATAACACCTTAGCTATCATCTCTAAGACCTGGATCAACTTCTGAATAGTTGAGTGGTTCCCTGCTGGGTGTGTTGAAAACTTCAGAGTGCCATCTTGTGGCCTCTGACATGTTGCCTTTTTTTGTTTTGTTTTGTTGTTTTTTGCACTGGTGCTTGCACCATGGAATATCCTCTCTCCTGAAATTGGTCAGGCAGCTTCTGTCACCTCTTCCAGATGCCCGTTAAATATTTCTCTTCAGCCAGGGTTTCCTGATATAGAAGTTAGATGAATTCCATTGAGGACCTGTATACTGCACGAGTCAAAAAGAGGGCTGTGAAAATATTTAGAGACCCCTCGCATCCTGGACATAAACTGTTTCAACTCCTACCCTCAAAACGACGCTATGGAGCCCTGCACACCAGAACAACTAGACACAAGAACAGTTTTTTCCCGAACGCCATCACTCTGCTAAACAAATAATTCCCTCAACACTGTCAAACTATTCACTAAGTCTGCATTACTATTACTATTAATCTTCTCATCGTTCCGATCACCCATCTCCTCCCACTTATGTCTGCATGACTGTAACTTTGTTGCTTGTATTCTTACGATTTATATTGATATTGATTGCTTCCTAGTATGATTCGATTGCTTATTTGTACCCTATGACTATCATTAAGTGTTGTACCTTATGATTCTTGACAAGTGTGTCTTGTCTTTTTATATACACTGAGAGCATATGAACCAAAGACAAATTCCTTGTGTGTCCAATCACACACAAAGAATTCTATCTATTTATCTATGAATGGACATGGAAAGCAATATGCTACTGGTATGTTTCCAGGTGCCATTCAAGATGCTGGTTTTCACCTTTAAAGCCCTACAGGGCTTGGGACCGGATTACCTGAGAGATCACCTTTTTCCAAGAGTCTCTAACCCATCCAATTAGATCTAACAGAATGGACTGCTACAGATTTGTCAACCATAGAGTATCAGGTGGCAGGGATAGAGTATGGGCTTTTTCCACACTCTGGACTTGATTTTCGTCTCTGCTAGGGTCTTGTTTCCTGGCTGTACTGTTAACTGGCCAAGTATCTCAGTTGCTTGGTATATTTGTTTTGGCTGTCTTTATTGTTTTAATAAAGACAGCCAAAACAAACAATAAATGTCTTTATTGTTTTGAAGGGACATGGTGGCTCAGTGGCTTAAGACGTTGAGCTTGTCGATCGAAAGGTCGGCAGTTCAGCGGTTCGAATCCCTAGTGCCACGTAATGGAGTGAGCTCCTGTTACTTGTCCCAGTTTCTGCCAACCTAGCAGTTCGAAAGCACGTAAAAAATGCAAGTAGAAAAATAGGGACCACCTTTGGTGGGAAGGTAACAGCGTTCTGTGCGCCTTTGGTGTTTAGTCATGCCGGACACATGACCACGGAGACATCTTCGGACAGTGCTAGCTTTTCGGCTTTGAAACGGAGATGAGCACCGCCCCCTAGAGTTGGGAACGACTAGCACATATGTGTGAGGGGAACCTTTACCTTATTGTTTTCTGTTGTTTTAACTATATTATTTGAATTGCAATCAGAGTCAGTGACTGAAATGGGCAGTTATAGAAACCAAATGAAGGAATAAATAAATAAATAGATGAACCTCAGTGGCCTGAAAACCAGATCTTTTGATGAGTCGAAGTGATGACAAGTACAATTGCTGGAATCCAATTTCCTGTTCCTGAAATTGTCCTTTTCTTTTTTCTTCTGGACTGGCAGTATCCGTTGGCTTTTGCTCTCAATTTCAGTAGATGGATCTGCAGGCACCCTGAGCTGTATAGACTTCAAGCCAACATGAATCTGTCAGAACTTACAATCACAGCAGAACACATAACTAAGGGAGTACGCGTCCTGGTGAGTGCCCTGTGTTGTATCTTCTTAATCTTTTGGATTTCTTTCTTATTGTTCCTTTCACAGTGTGAGAGTCATTGTGCTAAATAGTTCAGTTAATAGACTATTATAGCAATATTCTTGTTGCTGAGGTTGAGCTTAGTTCAGAACTAGGACTGTGTGTTCGTCTCAGTTGCCTTGAAATTAATTTGTAATCTTTTCTAAAGTCAAGTTCTTAAGATTCTCCCCTGCATTTACTGTATTTTTCGGAGTATAAGATGCTCCGGACTATAAAACACATCTACCTTTTTTGCGGAGGAAAACAAGAAAAAAAAATCTGCCTCTGCCTCCCAGCAAGTTGTCTCCTTGCAGCAAACAGCAAACCACCCGTTTCATTTTCATTTTCAGCACAGCCTGATTAGCAAAAGAAAAAAAAAATCTGCCTCTGCCTCCCAGCAATTTGCCTCCTTGCAGCAAACAGCATACAGCCCGTTTCAGCTTCAACACAACCTGATTAGCACAAGCAGCTGATTGTCGTTTGGATCAGCCTCCCGAAGATCAGCTGTTTCAGGCTGCAGGGATTGCCATACTTTATTGCTGCCTCCACACGCCCCATTTTTGGCCTCCGTGTGCCTCATTTTCCGCCCATTCTGGGCAGCAGGGATTGGAATGAGCAGAAAATGGGGTGCGCAGAGACCAAAAACAGGGTGTGCGGTGGTGGCAATAGGCAATGGCAATCCCTGCAGCCTGAAACAGCTGATCTTCGGGAGGCCAATCTAACACACAATCAGCTGCTTGTGCTAATCAGGCTGTGCTGAAGCTGAAACTGAAACAGGCTGTTTGCTGCAAAGAGGCAAATTACTGGGAGGCAGAGGCCAAAGGGTGGGGGTGGGTGGGGCTACATTCGGTGTATAAAACAACCCAAATTTTCACCCTCTTTTAAGGGTGAAAAAAGTGTGTCTTCTACTCCAAAAAATACGGTATAACGAAATCAGTTTTTTTAAAAAAAAAAATAGTAAGTGTTCAGCAAACTTTGCATACATAGCTTATCTCTTCCATGATTGTTTGCGGAGAACACAATAATCTTGTATATCTCAAAACAACAGGGTTCTTTTTTTCCTTTCATGTAACCATAGCTATTACTATCCTTCCTTTGGAATTTGCATTGGATGAAAGAAAACTTTTCCATAATAGAAATAATAGATATTCAGTTTATATGTAAAATGAACAAAGGCTTCATAAATTTGTCACTGCTGCAGGTTGTGGATGAACGGTTTTCTCCAGATGTTCTTAGTACCATCAAAGACATGAACGTGGCCAACTTCCGGAGGGTTCCTAAAATGCCTGTATATGGAATGGCTCAGCCCAACTCCAAGGTAAGTGTGGTTTCCATAAAGAGCTTTTGTTGGGACCAGGTCAATCCAAACCTGATTCCCAAACTGGAAGCTATACTAATGCTTCTAGATTTTCCTATTTGGTACTTAATTGCAACCAGCCTACCTTCTACTTAGGACCTGTATACTGCACGAGCCAGAAAGTGGGCTGAGAAAGTACATCCTGGATAAAAATGGTTTTAAGTCCTTCTCTCAGGACACTGCTGTGGGACATTGCAAAGCAAAAAACCAGACACAAAGAGACACAAAGTTTTTCACCCATGCTATCATTCTTCTAAACACCTAATTCCTACACTGAGAACTTATGTATGAACGCTGAAAGCTTATGCACCAGAGTCAAATTCCTTGTGTGTCCAATCACACTTGGCCAATAAAGAATTCTCTTCTCTTCTCTTCTCTTCTCTCCTCTCCTCTCCTCTCCTCTCCTCTCCTCCCCTCTTCTCTCCTCTCCTCTCCTCTCCTCTCCCCTCCCCTCCTCTCCTCTCCTCTCCTCTCCTCTCCTCATGGAATCTAGCAGAATCAGTAAAATAGAAGTTTTTTCATTAAAATACTTCTCTGTGATACTCCTTGAAAAGAATTGTGGAATTTTTTGAAAGTCATAATCCCCCCCCCCCCGGATTTGGTCATTATCAGAATTCTCAGTCCCAAAGGTATGATAAAGAGAACCTATGCTTAATACTACATGTCTTGAGGGCAGCAAGAATTATATTTGCACAGTATTGGAAAAATGAGGAAATATCTACAGAGGATGATATAATTAATTTTTTATTTAGATTGTACGGAAATTGATAGACTGACACTAAAAATAAAAGAAAAAGAAGATGCAGAATACTTTTGAACATGGAATTCGTTTTATAAATGGTTGGATAGCAGAGGTAGAAATTAGGAGCGGGAAAAGTATTGTTGTACAAAAATAAATTGATCCAGACATTATGCTGTTCACTAAGCACTTATATATGTAACCTGAAAATGTATAAATAAACTCTTAAAAAAAAGAATTCTCAGTCCCGTTGCCTGTCACCGCTTTGCCTCATAATGTCAAGGTCAAAGATAAGTTTTCAACGCCTGCCTGCTCATTTTTCTCCTCAGAGATTCCTGTTCCACTAAGTTCACTTCAGAAGGCCTCTTTTCAAAGCTGATCTGAAAGAAACAACCGCAGCTGAAGGGGATCTCTATAGTTCTTTGATTTATTCATTTGATTTATTTGCAATAGCCTAAGGGATAGGAACAGAAGGCTGTAGATCTTGGTAGATAATTTCTCTGGTTTTCCTTTTTTAAGACATTGTGAACGTTCTTCTGTTTAGGCAATTGGGAATGTCTTGAACTACCTGACGGATGCAAAGAGGAAGCATTCTCACATCTTATGGATTAATCTCCGTGACGACATAATTCTAGAAGAGAATGAACAAACCTATACCCTACGGGAAACGGGCAATCTGGAACAGCAGATAACGGTACCTGTAGCATCGTCAGAACAACTAGAGGTGAGACCTTGGATACTTGAACTTTCTGTGGATTCCTCCACCTACTTGTGCTACTAGCAAATTTCTTACTATCCACAATGGTCTTGATAGCATATCCAGTAAGAATGAATTCAGTGATGTGCCGTGGAGATGGTGTAGTGATGGAGAATGAGCTTTAGTAGATAGGAGTTAGTCGTGCTTTGTTTGTGTTCTTCTCCTGAGTAATTTCCCAGTTGAAAAAAAGCATTTCCTTGCACTTACTCTCCTGCAAGTAAAAGGCGGAAGAGAAAAATCCAAAATTACTGATTTTTTTCTCTTCCACATTGTATAGTCTTAATATATCAATTGGATGAGTTCCATATTTAAAGAAGATAAATAAAGCAGCTTGTGATATTTATTTCTTGACGTAACTGTTTTTCTCATGTCCACACGGGTGTATCTGTCACCATCAACAATGTTTTAAACCTAAAATGAAGTGGAAGATGTTTTTCTATTTTTAGAATGGGTACAGGATACGTTCTTCCTGTAGAATTTACTTATTTATGGCTAGTTCTCAACTTACAACCACAATGGGGAAAAGAACTTCCATTGCTGAGCAAGGTTGCTGTTACGTGAGTTGTGCCTGATTTTACAACCTTTATGCCATGGTTGCTAAGTGAATCACTGCAATTATTAAATGAATCAGGTGTTTGTTGGTCAAATCTGGCTTTCCTCATTGACTTTGCATCTCAGAAGCCAGCTGGGAAAGTGACAGATAGGGATCGCGTGACCCAGGCATGCTGATATCAGTACATGCCAGTTGTCAAGCGCACCAATTTTGATCACCTGCCTGTGGGGATGCTGCAATGGCTGTAAGTGCGAGGACCAGTTGTAAGTCACTTTTGCGGCCCATTCTAATTTCAGATGGTTGCTAAATGAATGATTGTAAGTTGAGAGTTACCTGTATTCAGTTTGCACCTGCTGCAGTCCATTAGACTCTTTCGATTCACGGCATAAAGTAATAATAACACGTTCATAGTAAAAGAAATTAAATACATCACTCAGTAGATGATTGGTATAATTTCAATCACAGCGTGGCCTCTGAAGCAATATGATCTTCGACAATCTGATCCTGAATTGTGTGTCTGTTCTATAGCATAGATCAGTGATGGTGAACCTTTTCGGCACCGAGTGCCAAAAAGGTCACGCGGAAACATCGCGCACGTGCTTGTCAGGGCCGTGCTCCGGAAAAGCTGAATTTCTGAGTTCTAGTGCGCATGCACGCCCAACTATCAGCTGGCCAGCCCGCATGCACACACTGGTTTTGGGCATGCTGCGTGCACGAAGGACAGCTGATCGTCTCGCGCACATGCGCACCAGAAACCCAGAAGACAAACAGGCAAGGCTGCTCGTGCCAGGCGACATGGCTTCGCATGCCGCTTTGGGCTCGCGTGCCACAGGTTCGCCCTCACGGGCATAGATGAGGCCCCTTTCATATCATGAAAGATTCCTAACAGAATCATCTTGCATTTGATATTCAAGAGTAATTCACTATTGACATTATGACGTTATGTCTACATTATTGTTGAAGTGTTAAGCCAGGATTTTGTAACCTCGAATTGTTGAATAAACTTTGGTGGCCCAGTTGGCACATAACATTACGTTTTTTTAAAAAAATGAGTTGATACATCATGCTAATCCAGAGGTGGGGAACTGGGATCCCTTTATGATTTGTGGACTTCAACTCCCAGAATTCCAGCATGGAAGTCCACAAATCATAAAAGGGCCTTAACTTAATTGATTAGTTAGTGCTAATCAATAACAAAGCAACATTCTGACTTAGGGTATGGACAGTTCTGGAAAAGAGAAACTGTCTTTTCACTTACCAAACATAATCATATGGGACGGATGTTTAAAGGCAGAGTGCTCTTTTATATAATGCAGGAAAATCAGGGTTAGTCAAACATTCCTTGACATGGGAGCCAAAGAAGATAATTTTCTATTCTCCAAAGTGTATCCTGGGGGAAAAAAAAGTCTTGTGAAATACAATGTTTTTGGCAAAAAGTGATTAAAGACAGGCACTGATTACTGTAGAAATAATAGGCAAAGTAATTTCCTCATGCCATGTCGTTCTTGGAAATAGCTGGGTGCATGCCCTTTTGTGCATTTATATATGACGACAACAGCAAATTTAATTATATTCTCAAGGACCTTGACATAAAATATTTTTCCAAATTCTATAAATGCTTGTAAAAGTGTGCAAGGTGTGTAGCATCACACGTTCAGGGAAAGAAAAGACAAAAATACTGTATTTTTTGGAGTATAAGACCCACGTTTTTCCCCCCTAAAAAGGGGTGAAAATTTGGGTGCATCTTATACAGCAAATGTAGTCCCGTCCACCCACTGACCCCCACCCTATGGCCTCTGCCTCCCAGCAATTTACCTCCTTGCAGCAAGAAGAAACAGCCCATTTCAGCTTCAGCACAGCCTAATTAGCACAAGTTGATTGATGGTTGATCGGCCTCCTGACTCTCAGCTGTTTCAGGCTGCAGGGATTGCCATTGCCTATGGCTGCGCTGGCCTCTGCTGCTTGCTGCAAGGAGATAAATTGCTGGGAGCAGATTTTTTTTCTTGTGCTAATCAAGCTTATGCTGAAAACGAAAATGAAAGTAAAGCAGGCTATTTGCTGTTTGCTGCAACAAGGCAAAATTGCTGGGAGGCAGAGGCAGATTTCTTTTTCTTGTTTTCCTCACCACAAAAGGTAGGTGCGTCTTATAGTCCGGAGCACCTTATACTCCGAAAAATACGGTAGGTATTGTTAATACTTTTCTTCTTTCTACTAAAGAAACTTCAAGATGCTACATAACAGACTTTGTTCATAGTCTTCGTGCTGCTTAGTTGCAAGGCCTAGTTGTTTTGTACTCATTGCTCATTGCAGTTTGGATGTTGAAATGATCAATGCATTATGAGATGAGGGCTTTTGTTTTCAAGATATTTTTCTGTAGAGTCGGATGTTGGTTTGAGGCTTAGAAGAAGTGACTAAATCAGTGGTTCTCAACCTTTGTTCCCCTTTAAATACCTTTTGTGTTCACAGATCATAGCCACAAACCCCCAAGAATTAATTCAAGATTTAAATCATAACATTTCTTCAAGCCTTCTCGGGACCCCTTGTGACGACATTACGCCCCCCCCTCCCCCCCCCGGTTGAGAACCACTGGACTAAAACACTCACTTAGCTGGCTTGTAAACCTTTGGCAGGACTTAGTCCAGCACCTTAACCATTACATCACACTAGCATAGCAGAGTGTGATAAAAATAAAATAAAAAGATTTTGAATTATATACAGCTGATGTATATTTATTTATTTATTTATTAATGGAACTTGTATGCCGCCCTATCTCCAATGGACTCGGGGCGCCTCACAACAATTAAAACAAAGCAAACAAACCATTAAAACAAAAATCCAGGTTCAAATTGACAAAAATTCCATAAAACCCAGTTAAAATTCTATTAAAACCCCCATCAGTCCAGGGCGGCCAGGTAAAATAGCCACGTTTTCAGGCCACGGCGGAAAGAGCGAAGGTCAGGGGCCACCCGGAGCTCCAGAGGGAGTTGATTCCAAAGGGTGGGTGTGCCCACAGAGAAAGCTTTCTCCCTGGGGGTAGACAGCCGACACTGTCTAGCCGACGGCACCCTGAGTAGGCCCTCCCTGTGGGAACGCACAAGGCGATGGGAAGCTGTTGCTGGCTGCAGATGGTCCTCCAAATATCCCGGGCCTAAGCCATGGGATATTTGGAGCCGTATATATGAGCTTTTGTTAGAAACACTAATTTTGTAGATTTACAGAGATTCTATATGTTTCAGTCACAAATTGACTTCCTTGGACCTTACATCATACTTAAGTGATCAGTAGAGGGGGCGGTGCATAAGTGCACTAATGTACTGATCGTCCCTGTCATTTTATTTTTATTCTTTTATTCTTGTTCTCATTTTTGTTTGACAAATTCAAACAAACAAACAAACAGACAAACAAACAAATAAATAGGACAGGAATGAGGCTTTTTGCCTTGTAAAAGTATGCTGCATTTTTTTCGCCAATGAATTGTTTTGCCTTAGTTTACGAATTGTAAAAATGTCTAGTATGCATAACAGAGAAATACCCAGAGAAATGTTATTGTGTATCAGGGTACTCTTCGACCTGGTTCCCTCCAGATGTGTTTCTATAATTCCTTTCTTGATGGAAAGATGGGCATTGTATTGCAACCTACCTGAGGGGCATCGGGTGAGAGAATAGAATAGAATAGAATAGAATAGAATAGAATAGAATAGAATAGAATAGAATAGAATAGAATAGAATAGAATAGAATAGAATTACACTGCTCAAAAAAATAAAGGGAACATAAGCAGAAGACATCCGAGATCTGAATGAATGAAATAGCCTTATTAAATACTTTGTTCGTTACATACAGTAGTTTTGTGTTCCCTTTAGTTGTTTGAGCAGTGTATAAACTACTGTATGTAAAGAACAAAGTATTTAATAAGGCTATTTCATTCATTCAGATCTCGGATGTCTTCTGCTTGTGTTCCCTTTATTTTTTTGAGCAGAATAGAATAGAATAGAATAGAATAGAATAGAATAGAATAGAATAGAATAGAATAGAATAGAATAGAATAGAATAGAATAGAATTTTTTATTGGCCAAGTGTGATTGGACACACAAGGAATTTGTCTTGGTGCATATGCTTTCATAAAAGAAAAGATACATTCATCAAGAATCATAAGGTACAACACTTAATGATAGTCATAGGGAAACAGTCAATATAAATCGTAAGGATATCAGCAACAAAGTTACAGTCATACAGTCATAAGTGGGAGCAGATGGGTGATAGGAACGATGAGAAGATTAATAGTAATAGTAATGCAGACTTAGTGAATAGTTTGACAGTGTTGAGGGAATTATTTGTTTAGCAGAGTGATGGCGTTCAGGAAAAAACTCTTCTTGTGTCTAGTTTTTTCTGGTGTGCAGTGCTCTATAGCGTCGTTTTGAGGGTAGGAGTTTAAACAGTTTATGAAGATTAAACTTCCTGAAGATAGAACTGAAAGAGGTGAATGACTCCCTTGTTTCTTTGACACTACTTCAGAAACTGGAATCTGTCTTGAAGAACGATCTGTTGAAATCCCAGAAACGGATTGAGGTTTATTTGGAACAAGAGAAGCAGATGAAAGTGTTGAAATCATGCTTAACCATGCAGGAGATATTTAACCAGCACAAAAGCAATTGCCAAGGGCTGGCCTACAAACGGATCCCAGTTCCAGATTTCTGTGGCCTGAAGGAGAAGGTAAGCAAATACCTTAGAAGTGTCACTTCTGCTTAGTGGTGGGATTCAAATAATTTAACAACTGGTTCTCTCAGAGTCAGGTTGGCTGTCGTGGGAGGTGTGGTCCACCCCCGTCCTCCAGCTCCACTGCACATAGGGGACGAGCCTCCCACGATGACCAACCTGATCCTGGGTGAATCAGTTGTTAAATTACACCCACACAGCTATCAAAGCGGATCCTGGGCGCTGCGCTGCAATGGAAAAATGGAAATGGAACGGCCGGCACGAGAGGAGGAGGAGGAGCAGGGAGAAGAAAGAGGGAAAGTGGCCTTCTGCCTTCCTTGCACCGGCTGCTCCTTTTCCCATTTTCCACTTTGATAGGGGGGAGGTAATTTAACAGTCGGTTCGCCCAAACCGGTGTGAACCAGCTGAATACCACCCCTGCTTCTTCTCCTGGGAGTAGGTGAAAAGCTGCATTTGGCAAGTTTCCCATTCTATATTTTAGCCTTTCTTGACATTGTTTGGGTGTATCTGTGTGTGAGTGAAAAATGAAAGACAAGGTTAGGCATAAATACTATATAAATAGAATCAATTATGACTAATGCTGCTAGTAGTATAAGCACGTTGCAGTCTGTTGTTACTTAGTGCCTCAGAAGAAAGATAGGTCCTGCATGTTTTATTTGAATATTGCTAGTGTGTCCATTTTTATTTAACACTTGAGTACATTTATCTCACTTCAGCAACTTCAGATCCAAATTTTGATTCTGACACTTCAGCTGGTGCAACTTCATTTTTAAGTAATGCATCTTCATGAACATAAATAGATAGGAAGTTTTAAGGAAGTGGCCTAATTTGAAGGAAATTGAATGCCCTGCAATTCAATAATCAATAGTCAGAGGAGCTTAATATATGTACAATCTATCATTTGTTATAATAGGCATTGACAATTGAGATAATTTTTTGTCCTATAAAAGTAAATTGAAGGGGCTGCTTTGACATGATTAACAAATGATTGTTAATTGAAATTATATATCCACCAATTTCTGTGTGATCTTATTATACACACAGATACTAATGATAATATTTTAGAATAGGATTTGAATATTATTTGAAATATAATATGAAATATTATAGTATATAGTATTATATACATACATACATACATATATACCATGTTTCCCCGATAATAACGACCTACTCAGAAAGTAAGTCCTAGCTTGCTTTTTATATGTGAGCCCAATATAAGCCCTAATTATGACTCCGCCAGGGGTGGGTTCTACTTACCTTTACTACCAGTTCACAGTGGGGCCGCGCACACACGCGCTCTTCTGCCCAGAAGCATTTTGATGACATCGGGGTCAGTGGGCGGAGCCTCCCGCCGGTTTTACTACTGGTTCTGTAGAACCGGTGCGAACCGGGGGCAACTCACCACTGGACTCCGCCCATTCCAGGGTACACTTAAGCTAGGGTGGGGATTGGGCGTGGTGGAGCTCCCCTACTATTTACCTTTGGATAGTTGCAGCTAGGCCTCACACACCTCAGCCCATTTCTTCTGCAGCCAGCAAGGCTTTCCTAAAGGCCTTTGCAGCCAATAACAGAGATATTTCAGAATAAAAACAGACCCAAGAAGAAGGACAGATTATTATATTTCTTTGTAATTGGGAACTATGCACATCATTTATACCTCAGGTCGAGTTTTAAAGAACATGTACAATCAATAAATAATTACGGGTAGTCCTCAATTTATCACCATTACTAAGACCAGAAAGAATTGGTCACAAGTCATTATAGCCACAACTCAAGCATCCATATGACCAGATGTAATTTTCTAACTTTTTTCCCCCCACTGTCATGAAGTGAAACTATTCATTTGAATGGACCTTTTTTTGTAGGGAAACTGGCAAAAAACAGCAAACTCTTCTCAACTTTTGGAGGATCCATTTAAGTGGTTTGGAAGTTAAAATTTGTTATTTTTGTCATCTGAAAAAAAGAGAGAAATTTTCTCATGACATCTTTGGTTTGTGTCCTTAGGATTTTGATCAGATGCTGGAAGCCATGAAGGGCGCGCTGGCTGAAGACTCCCACACAGCCTTTGTGTTCAACTGTCACAGTGGCAGAGGGCGAACTACAACTGCCATGGTTATTGCTGTCCTCATCCTTTGGCATTTCAATGTATGTGCTGCTTTGGAGAGGCATGGGCTGAACAGTCTAGAGCAGGGGTGTCATTCATTGGACTTCATTGAGGGCCGCATCAGGGTTGTTTTTGACCTCAGGGGGCCGAGTGGACGTGGCCAGGGTGGGCGTGGCCAGCTCAATGTCACTCGTGTTGGGGATGCCTGTGGTGGCCCGAGCGCTCTGCCAGTAAAAACTGAGCTCGGGAGGGCCGCGTGTGGCCCTCCTGAGCTCCATTTTCATTGGCAGAGGCACCATGGAGGCACCGTCATTGTTTCCAGGGTGGCCCCGCGAGCCAGATCTAAGCACCTCGCGGGCTGCATCTGGCCCACAGGCCTTGAATTTGCCACCCCTGGTCTAGAGTTATGTAGAAAGTGGGACCTCGAATCTGAAATGAAATCCTACTGCAAAGGATATCAGATCCCACATTATTTCAAAGCTGGGTCAGGGGTTTTAATCTTTCACTCTACTTGTAGTATGACATTAATTTGTCCAGATGTTGGCAGTCTTTGTGATCCCCCTCTGAGGAGCTATGTAGGAAGAGCTTCCTAATCTTTCCAAATTCGTATTTGTCTCTTCATCATCCATTTAAAAAAGCTTTTCATGTTTGCAACACAAGACAAATCTTCAAAAGAGACCTTATCTTAGTTCTGATTATATTGCTCCATGTTGAAATATGATCGCTTCCTTTTCTGGTTGAATTTTATTTTTTTTAAAACAGGAGAATTATTTTTTAAAAAAGCAATGTGGATATGCGTGCTCATGTTTCATTGTTGTTTTGGAGCACGATTTTAATATAAATATTCCAAGCTGGGCTAAATCAAGGCAGGGTTGTCCAGACATTTCCCAGGAAATTGAGCTCTGTGAAAACATCCAGGGTGTCTTCAGTGAGAAATGAAAGAATAACAGAGGTCCCTAGAAAATAGCTCACTCAGCTCTGGCCAGAAGACAACTTGAGCTGTTTTATTTTCAGAACAAATGCTTGCTTATTGTAGGATAAAAGCATTTTTTTCTATTATCATGTCAATTCTATCCTTAAAAACGTCAGAGTCAAGCTGAAGGCCATTTTTTTTATTATGGCATAGCTAGGAGGAAGAGTTGGAGTTTGGTCAACCTTGTCTTGTTGCTTCATCCTAACTTGGCAAACTGTGGCTAATTTGTTAACAGTCTGGCAGTAAGCCGATTTTGATCCTTAGATTACCGTGTTTCCCCGAAAATAAGACATGTCCAGATAATAAGCCCAATCAGGCTGGAAAGGTAAGACGCTCATCCCGCTTCTCACCCGCCTTACCTGCCACCCCCAAATTTCATCCCTAAAGTGGGCGGGTGGCTAAGCGACGGGCAGGAGTCCTGTCATGCCCAGTGAGGGGAGGGAAAAGGGACAGCAAGGGGAACCACATCTCGCTCCACGCATCTCGCTTCTCCTCCGCCCCACCTGCCACCCCACTGGATAAAGAGACAGTGGGTAAGGGAAGAAGCTGTTCCCATTGGTGTGGGGTGGGACGTGTTGGGCTGCTCGGCTGGTGCGAAGAACAGGGAGGGGAGGTGACGGCAGTGACAGGACATCCAGTCCCACGCTCGCTGCTTCCTGCACCCCCAAAATAATAAGACCCCCCGATAATAAGGCTAAGCCCTTATTTGGGGGGGGGAATCAAAAGAAAATAGGACCCTGTCTTATTTTTGGGGGAACACGGTATAAGCCTGGTTTATTTGGAAGTTGGCTATATTTCTATACCGAATTATTCCCATTCTTTCTGCCATTTAGAAACTAAAACATCGCCAGTCCTTCAGTGCACCATAACGGTACTCTTTCAGCCATGCCATTATTCTAAAAGCTGTTATTGTCAACATCATATCCGAATGACAGGTGTCCTGAATGACAATGACCTTAATACACCAAAGCTGTTATGATCAGGTTGGTGCAAAGAAAGAATTTGGTCCCGTCCTAGAAGTAGACCAAAAAAAAGGGGCGAGAAGAAAGGACACCCTTGGCTGCAACTTGAAGGAGCATATTCTTCTCATGTTAGACTCAAACTTTGCTAGAAACTTTGCCATGTGCACTTAAGAAAAAAATCCAGAATCCTGTGTAGTGCTGTGGAGTTCCTTGAGAGAGAGGGGGATGTATATTTGTGCTTGGTTCTTGAGTCAGTCTTGACTCCTGATGATGGCTTAGACATGTCCCTATAGTTTTCTTGGAAATCTTTTTGGAAGTGGTTTGCCATTGCCCATTTCCTAGGACAGAGAGAAAATGACTGGCCCAAGTTCACCCAACTTGTCTCTGTGTCTAAGGTAGCACTAGATCTTAGGATGTCCTGGTCTCTAATTCAGTACCTTAACCAATACACTTTGGGACAGGATTTCTGTAAAATGATTTGTCAATGATCAAAAGCTTTTTGAAAGCTGAAAGATGTAGTGGTTTACAAAATAATACATTTGTTACAAATCAGCACAGAAAGAAAAGAAGCACCCAAAATTGTTGGCAATCCTGATTTTAGTGTATTTCTTACATTGTATATGCCAGGGGTGTCAAATTGGATTTCTTCAAGGCTGGATCAGCATTGTAGGTCTCCACAAACCAGCCGGGGGTGGTGGAGATGGGATGGAAGTCTGCACCACCCTGCCGGCCAAAATGGGGCATGGGGGGGGGGCTGCACGTGCCCCCACGTCCCCCATTTTCAACCTGGACAGCCTCCTGTAGCACTCTGCCAGCCAAAATGGGGCACTGGGGGCCATGTATGCCCCCCTGCGCCCTGTTTTCAGCCTGGACGGCCTCCTGCAGCACTCTGCCAGCCAAATGAGAGTGCTGCAGGGGGCTGTCCAGGCCGAAAACGGCAGAGTTTTGGCCAGCAGAGTGCTGCAAGAGGCCATCCAGGCTGAAAACAGGAAGCAGGGAGGGGGGTACCTGTGCGGCACCACGGGCCGGTCCTTTGCTATTTCTAGGAACCAGCCTGCAGGCCTTGAGTTAGACACCCCTGGTATATGCCAACTCTTTAAAGGAGAAACCACTGTTTTAGCTTTTTCATAGCTTTAAAATCGAGGCTAAGCCTGTCTTGTTGCTGCAGGGAATCCCCGAGATCACGGAGGATGAGTTTGTGAGTGTGCCGGACGCCAAGTACACAAAAGGAGAATTTGAGGTTGGTGTCTTCTAATGCATGCTTTGTATTTTCTTAATATAATACTTTAACAGCAGGGAACCTTCACAGTCATAATAAATAAATGCATTGATTTGAGTTTCATGTCAACCCTGCTTCTTGTGATTTATTCAGTAACATATATTTTAATTTAGCATTGGGAGTGTGCATGAAACACAAGCGATCTTGAACAGCTTTGAACAAAAGAGCCCAACCTGAAATGTTACGTTGACATGAGTTGTAAACTGGCTGTGTTCTGTTAGGCCAAAATTAAAAATATTTTAAGCAGTCTGATCAGTTTTTACATAGGTTTTGCTATGCTACTTTCATAGTGGCATCCTATAAATAGATTTGCACAATTCCTTTTTTAGGCAATTGTGGGTTTCTCGCATATAAAAGTAGTGGCCAGTTGCAAGAAAAAGGAAGGGAGGGAGGGAGGGAGGAAGGAAGGAAGGAAGGAAGGAAGGAAGGAAGGAAGGAAGGAAGGAGCTTTTAAATGATGAATAACATTAACATCACAGCAAAAGACAAGAGCAGTTAGAGAGGGTATGCAAGCAAAGCATAGCAAGTTAGCCAAACTAATATATCCTTTGCATTTTTTATGCATCCTAATGCTCAGAATGAGATAATGAACAAAATGTGCACACACATGTCAAAGCCAAGTAGATGAATTACACTAATAGCACACTAAAAGTCTTTGTGTTGACACATTAAGAGCAACACTTTTGAATTATTTGTTTGCAAAGCAAAACTTTGCACGATGCAGGAAGATCCGCATGCCTTCTAACGGCAACCCACCCCAAAAAGACTCCTAATATCTAATAGCTAAATTGTGGCTTCCAGCTATTGCCCTTTTGTGCTTAACATTAACATTTGCATTTGAACTGCCCAGGGTAAATCTGTAACAGCAGGGACACAGTTGATCCCAGCAACTCTACTAATCAGCCTGGAAAAACTTTGACAGGAAGCTAACACAGCTACTAACTAGATAATAACAAGATGCTGGTCGCACACAGAACAGGACACTTGAAAACCTGCCTCTCAAAATGGCTGCAGCATGTTGTGATTGAACAATTAACATTCACCTGATTTCTATAGTCATAGAATAGTTGGAGGGATGCAGTCGATCCCATCGAAGCATGGATGTCCACAGTTAGGTCCAGCGTCTGCAAGATGGCAGGTGTGGCAGCGCAACCCAAGACCTGGCTCTTTTGTGCATGTAAATGTACATGTGCACCAGTGGTGGGTTCCTCCTGGTTCGGTCCGGTTCTGCCGAGCCGGTAGCGGTGACTATATGACATCACCGAACCAGTTCTGGCTGCCCCCCGCCCCTCCCCCCACATTATTCTTAACTTTTATTTGGCCCCACCCCCAATCTATTGCTGCCTCCTGAGTTCCAGCTGATGGGCTATAAGGAAAAACTGTTTAAACTCTTGCCGCGGTGCTTCAAAGGGTGCCCTACAGCTGATAGTGGTAAAAGGCAGTTTAAGTGGTAGACCGGTGCCTACAAAAATAAATGGGTAGACCAGTGCCTGCAAAAATACATGAGTAGACCGGTGCCTGCAAAAATAAATGGGTAGACCAGTGACTGCAAAAATAAATGGGTAGACTAGTGCCTGCAAAAATAAATGAGTAGATTGGTACAGGTCTGCAAGCAGTTAAAAGCCTCCTGCACCCCCCTGGGAGCAAAAATGGGCCAGGGGGACGCGTGCCCCCCTGCGCCCTGTTTTGGGCCTAGGAGGCCTCCCTGAAGCCTAATGGGAGTGAAAACGGGCCACGGGGGGAGGGGGCGTACCTACCCCCCCCGCTCCATTTTGGGCCTAGGAGGCCTCTCTGCACTTACTTAGGAGCCAAAAGCGGGTGCATGGAGACTCCTGATAGGGGAGGGGAAGGGCCTGCCAGCAATTTAACTACCAGTTAACCTGAACCGGCTGAATCCCACCACTGCACCTGGAGTTTTTTAGGGATAGGTTTTGTATCAGGCAGCAAAACCAGATAGGCCAGTGTTTCTCAACCATGGCAGTTTTAAGAGGCATGGATTTCAACTCCCAGAATTCCCCAGCGTTGAAGTCCATGCCTCTTAAAGCAGCCAAGGTTGAAGAAACACTGAGATATACATCTCAGGGTCTCTTTATGTTGGGTTTTGTTTTTTGTTTTACCATATAAGGGTATCTAAGTACTAAACTTTGCCTTCATAGAGAAACTGTGTTTCTTAGATCTGCTGGAGATGTTTTCTTTGCTGAGTGTTTAGTCCCTGTATGAGAAAAGTGAGTGCAGAAGGGAAAAGCTTCATCATCAGCTATAGGGTTTGCTCTTATCTGCCAGGTGGTGATGAAAATGCTTCAGATATTGCCGGAGGGTCATCAGATGAAGAAGGAAGTCGATATGGCATTGGACACAGTGAGCGAAACGATGACGCCTATGCACTACCACCTGAGAGAAATCATCATTAGTACTTACAGACAGGTAAGGTTGACCTCAGAGAGAAGAGAAGGGGAGGGAAATTACTGGGTGCATTTTATGAATTTTTGCTCACTTCTGGTCCAATCGAATATTAAGTCCACTAAGTAGATGTGGGTGTCATGTGACTTTAGTCCACAATGTATAATTGGAATGTCTTGACGTCAGTGGTGAAATCCATTTTTTTTTACTACCGGTTCTGTGGGCGTGGCTTGGCGGGCGTGACAGGGGAAGGATACTGCAAAATCTCCATTCCCACTCCACTCCTGCAGGAAGGATATTGCAAAATCTCGATTCCCAGTCCACTCCTGCAGGAAGGATATTGCAAAATCTCGATTCCCAGTCCACTCTGGGGCCTGCCAAAGGTAGTATTTGCCAGTTCTCTGAACTACTTAAAATTTCTGCTACCAGTTCTCTGAACTACTCAAAATTTCCGCTACCGTTTTTCCAGAACCTGCTGGATTTCACCCCTGCTTGGCGTGCTGCCATAGAAGGATCAAAAATAAGAGGAAGTGTTGTGGCCCGTTGGGGTTTCATGGCAACTGTTACCATTCTTGTTAGTTTATGAGTCTAAGAAGGGAAAATCGGTCATCTTTTTAGCTTTTTCTCTTTTCAATTGGTAGGTGGTGCCTATTGACATAATGTTAATTTTTAAAATATTGAGCAGCGGAGTGGCTTTTGAATTTTCACCCTCAACAGGATATTCCTTAAGACTTCCTTGCGTTCAGCCCTTGACGTTGTTATCATAACCATAACTGAAGTTGTTAATGTTTCCCTCAGTTATTTCTGCTGATCTGTTTTACATATGTTAAATGAAAATGATGGTAATATACAATTGTTGTGTTCTCTTTTCCAAGTTTTGACTCATTTAATTTCTCCATATTCTGTTCTAAATAGAGAGCCAGTTTGATTTAGTGCTTAAGGCGCCAGGCTAGAAACTAGGAGACTGAATTCTAGTACCACCTTTGGCATGAAAGCTGATTGGGTGACTTTGGGCCAATCACTCACTCTCGGTCCATGACATCAAGTTTGGGTGACAAGCTGGTTGGTTAATTCCTGTCGCAACCAATGGATCAACACTCTGTTGATCTGAAAAAAAGCAGCCATGGCCAAAAAAAAATCATAAAATTGGGTGCAGTTTACTTAACATCCACCTTGCTTAGAGAACTTCTGGCCCCAACTGTGGTTGTATCTCAAGAACTACCTGTAATACTCATTTTTCCTGTTGTTCCGTTAATTTTATTCAAGAAATCATTTCTCCTCCCCTTTTGACTGTTATCTAACTCTTCTTGTATTTTTTTTTTAATGGAAATCAGTGTTCAGTTGGACACATTTTCCGCTGTCACTCTTGTCTTTTCCTTCAATGTAATTTCAATGTATAAGGTGGACAACTATTTACATATTTCTGTGACTTTGTCTACATCTGTAGTACAGTATAAAGTGTATGTAATGTGTGGAAAATACCACTAGATGTCAGGTTGGAATGCCAAATATTTTCCTTGTGGCTACAAAGTCAGGACAGGACATTGAAAACATCATTTTAAATCCAGTTGTCACTGTGTCTGAATCTTGTCTATCTTCGTCAGAAAGGCGCAAGTAATTTTAATGCATCCCCTTTCACAAAGAATGCACATCTAATATTATTTGTCCCTGGTTACCGTTTGTAATTAATTTTATTTTGATTCTGTATTCTTGTTTTATTGTGTAAATATGGTAAGCCACTTTATTGTATATATTCTATAAGACCAGTTGGTTGCAAGTTGTCAGATAAATTGGATGGATGGATGGATGGACAGATAGATCTTTTTTCCACTGACCTTGCACGAACCTTCTTCCATATGAGGCTTTGGAAAAAAAAGAAAGCTGAAATTTTCCAAAATAGCAAGTATGTTCTTCACAAGCCGTCATAAGAAATTCAAATTCAAATTCAATTCAAATTCAAATTCAAATTCAAATCTTTATTGTCAGTGCACAACATATGTACAATGAGATTGGTTGAGCTCCTTCAGTGCAGCCCCCCCCAACACAATACAACTCACAGTGAAGACAGAAAATCCCTAACCCAATAAATCATATTAACAAAACACCCAGTCCTATTGCATCAGTGTGAACATGTTACTCATTGCACCAGCTCTGCAGTCCATCATACTACATAGCTATTATGTTATTTCTCATTCAGGAGTCTGACAACCCATGAATAAAAACTATTCTTTAGCCTGTTTGTGCGGCTGGCTATACTTCTATATCTCCTTCTCGATGGTAATAAATTATCAAGTATTCTCTGCTTGTTATTTAGGAATTATGTCATTAAAGCAAAAATAATACTGCAAGTATTTGTAGCTCAGGGTTGACATGAGGGGTCCTTGGTGCTCTCTGAGCTTACTTATTTTCTTGCAGATTTTTCATTATCCAAACTAGGTAACAACATTTATTTATTTATTTATTGGTTCGATTTATATGCCGCCCTTCTCCGGAGACTCAGGGCGGCTTACAATGCGTCAAGCAATAGCTTTCATACTTTTGTATATACCTGCTTAGTAGGGCTTTTGGCCCCTCCTAAGCGGTGTTCTTTTTTATACAAAGTCAGCTTATTACCTCCACAATCCGGGTCCTCATTTTACCTACCTCGGAAGGATGGAAGGCTGAGTCAACCTTGAGCCTGGTGAGATTCGAACTTGCAGTAATTGCAGGCAGCTGGTGTTACTTAACAGCACTTTAATCTGCTGCGCCACCAGGGCGCCACCATTACCAGTGCTAATAAGGAGTGCAGCAAAACTGACAGCAAACTGCACTTATTACTAGCACTGATGATGTTACCTAGTTTGGGTAATGAACCATCTGCAAGAAAACAAGCAAGGTCAGAATGCACCAAGGACACCACAAGTGTTATGTCACCCTGGTGTTTTTTGTTTTCATCACCAGCTTTCCTTATTGACCCTCTGCTCTGAAAAACAAACACCTTTTCATTTCAGGAATATCAGAAGAGTATCTCTTCTATAAATAGTTCGGTTCTTTTGTCATTTTTTGAAAAGTGATCAACACAAGCAAATTAGCATCCAGACATCCGAGAAGTGGTAGGTTGCCTGAACCTGTTCTGGATTCTCTTTTAACTTCGACATTGTCTGTCTCTAATTTGTGGTTGCTGATAGTTACAGCAGGTGTTGATTGACATAAGACTTTGACAGTATATTTGGTTGTGTGTCTTAGGGTTTTTCTTAATAGGGAATACAACATGGACACACAGACAAGACTTTTTCTCATAACACTTATTTTATTATACTATTATTATATTCTCCGTTTTCTATTTCTATTCTTCTTTCATCTATAAAGTATTCTTATATTCTACTTCTATGTTCTTATTCCCGTGTATATAATCGAATGCTTTTTTCAAATCTTAACTATTTCTTAGTTCTTTGTATTCTAAATTTTCCCCCTTTCCCCAGGTGTAGGTGGAGATGCTAACTCTGAGAGAATGGTCAATTGTCTAGAGCAGTGATGGCTAACCTTTTTGCCGTTGCGTGCCAAAAGCGGGGGGAGTGTGGGAGGTCGTGGGTGCGGGTGCCCACATCCATAATTCAATGCGTCCCGCCTTCCTGCACATGCGCATGTGACACCCCCACACTTCCCCCTGCTTTTGGCACACGACGGCACGGTGGGCCCAGTAGGCCCATTTTCCCCCCTCCCCAGGCTCCAGAGGCTTTCTAGGAGCCTGGGGAGGGCAAAAACAGCCTTCCCCATCCCCCCAGAGGCCTTCCTGGAGGCCAGAAACAGCCAGTTTCCCGACTTCTGGTGGGACCGGAAGGCCTGAAAATCAGTTGGCTGGTGCGCGCATGTGCACTGGAGCTGAGCTAGGGCAACACTCAAGTGCCCACCAATATGGCTCCGCGTGCCACCTGTGGCACCCGTGCCATACGTTCGCCATCACGGGTCTAGAGCCATGATGCAGGGGTGGGTTCCACTTTACTACTGGTTTGCAGTGGGAGCGCGCACGCTTCGCATGAGCAGATTGCCAATTATGACATCTGGGCGGAGCCTCCCGCCGCTTTTACTACCGATTCTAAAGAACCAGACAGAACCAGGAGCAATCCACCACTGCCGTGATGGCAAACCTATGGTACGGGTGCCAGAGGTGGCACCCAGAGCCCTCTCTGTGGGCACCTGTGCCGTCACCAGCTGCTCTTCCCGGCCACTTGATCTTCATGTGTGCCAGAGTGCTGGAAACCCAAAGACCAGGTGGCCAGTGCACAGTAGGAAGCTCTAGACCAGTGTTGGTGAAGCTTTTTGGCACCAAGTGCCCAAACTGGAACGCACACGCGCTGGAGCTCTGGAAACTCAAAGACTAGCTGGCTGGTGTGCATGCACGCGCCAGACACTTGGTTTTTGGGTTTCCAGCGCTCCGGCATGCACGAAGACCAGTTGATCTTCGAATTTCCAGGGCCCCAGTGCGTGCGCCTTCCAGTTTGGGCACTTGGTGCCAAAAAGCTCCACCATCACTGGTCTAGAGCAGTGATGGCTAACCTTTTTGCCCTCGTGTGCCAAAAGAGGGGGGAGCCTGAGGGGTCACACCCGTGTGTGCCCACATCAATAATTCTATGTGCACTGGCCTCCCCACATACGTGCATGCCCCCCCACCCCCCACTTTTGGCATGTGATGGGACGGTGGGCCCAGTAGGTCCATTTTTCACCCTCCCCAGGTTCCAGAGGCTCTCTAGGAGCCTGGGGAGGGCGAAAATGACCTTCCCTACCCCCCCGACACCCTCCAGAGGCCAGAAACAGCCTGTTTGCTGACTTCCAGTGAGACCAGAAGGTGCATTTTTCACTCACCCCAGCCTCCAGAGCCTTTCTAGGAGCCTGGGGAGGGCAAAAATGGGCCTTCCAGACCCCCCCAGAGGCCTTCCGGAGGCCGGACACAGCCTGTTTCCCGACTTCTGGTGGGCCCAGAAGGCCCGAAAATCAGCTGGAGCTGAGCTCGCGTGCCCACTGATATGGCTCCGTGTGCCATCTGT